GAGGGAAGACCCAGTGAAGCAGGTGGGCGACGCAGCCAGATCTCCTCGTGCAGGCTGCCCCTGCAAGAAAGCTGTGCTGAAGTCGAGAGAGTGCAGCTCGTAGTCACGGTGAGCAGCAACGTGCAGCAGTACCCCGAAGAGTGGGTCATCTTCGGGGTGGGGGAGAAGGTCTGAAAGTAGTCAACCCCCTGCCGCTGACTGAAGCCACGAGCCACGTAACGCGCCTTGAAGACAGGCGGATAACCGGCGGCCGCTTCACCCTGAAAATCCACATGCCACTGACGATGTTCGCCCCAGGAGGGGGAACAGCGTCAACGTAGGTGCCTGTGGACTTCCAGGAAGCCATCTCTGCATCCATAGCTGCCTGCCACTAGTGGAGTAGGGACCCTCTATCGCCTCCGCGTAAGAGCGCGGAGTCGGGATGTCTAGTGCATCCGGGTCTCCCTCAGGGCTAGCAGTACAGACGCGAGATGAGGTGAAGCGGCGGCCAGACACTGGAACTCCTCCTGCCTGTCCTCAAGGACGTCCGTGCCAAGGGCACACTCACCCCCGACGGACGGAGGACAGGCAGACTCAGACTCAGCGACAAGACTAGCAGGGTAGTTCTAGACGACAGCGCGCAGCAAAGTCGACGAGCTCAGTGACAAGGGCAGACGCAGCAGAAGACTCGAAAGAAGGGTCAGTGACAGCAGTAGCAAGGAGACGCGTGACAGTAGGACTGGCAGCACGAAGAGAGTCCGACTCCAGGGTCGGCAAGAGCAGGAAGAGAGGAAGCAGGAGGAGAAGGCAAAAGGGGCACGCAGAGGAGCAGTAGACGGACGCAGAGACATCCGGTGCGTGCCAGGGACAGGGAGGAGGACGCTGACGGGAACCGCGACCACTAGCGCGCGCAGTACGAACAGGCGACGCAGGACGAGACGCAGGCTCACGACGCTCAGTAAGACCTCCAGTCGGACCAGCGTAGGGAGAAGGGAGCAGGCAAAGGTGAGGCAGGCTGTAGCTGTGACGATGACGAGACAGGCTGTGGACCCTCTAAGGGAGGAGGAGGAGGACCAGGAGAAGGTGTAAGACCAAGAACCTGCTGCAGGAGCGGAACGAAGTACGGCCGGGGCCGCGCGGCGACGCCAGAAACAGCAGGGACAGCACCAGTACCCCCAGCAGGAGTACCCGCTCCAGCAGCACCTCCAGTAGCTCCAGAACCTCCAGCAGCACCACCAGGAGCACCGCCAGTCGGACCTCCAGCAGCAGTCTCAGCGCCAACACCCTCAGCAGCACCAGCTCCAGGAGAACCCTCAGACCCAGCAGCTCCAGCACCCACAGTACGAGCACCTCCGGGACGCTCGGCAGCAGTACCCTCTGCAGCCGAAGAACCTCCAGTACCAGCAGCACGCCTCCAGCGCCTGGCAAACCACTCACGTAGCTCCTGTGGGGAGAGTGGCTCTCGGCGAGACGAAGCACCTCCAGGCGGAGCACCCCAAGTCTCAGCACCCCCAGGCTCAGCACCCCCAGGCTCAGCACCCCCAGGCTCAGCACCTCCAGACTCCGCACCCCCAGGCTCAGCACCCTCAGGCGTAGCACCTCCAGTCTCAGCACCCCCAGGCTCAGCTCCCGCAGCAGCACCAGAGTCACCAGTGACCTCGACAGGCGTCTACCTGGGACACACCTGAAGGGGCAGGACCCTGAGGGGGGAGGGGGTCTACCGGGGGGGGACCTGGTACCAAGAAAGAGCGGGGGCGGGGGGAGGGATGGAGTGCGGTAGGGGACGAGGCGGTAGTAGGGTACCGACTCGTCGAACGTGACGTCCTGGGAGGACAGAACACGTCGAGAGGTGGGGTGGTAGAACTGCCACCCAGGGGCGTCGGGGGGGAACCCCAGGAAGACGCAGGGAGCAGCGCGAGGGGACAGCTTGTCCGCAGACAAGTCGCGGACAAACGCCCGAGATCCCCAGACCCGGAACGCCGACGCATCGCCAACCTTCCCCGTCCACAGCAGCGCTGGGGAGGTCTCCGGCCTGGAGACCCTGGGGTGGAGGTTGATCTGATGCGCTGCGTACCTGACCGCAAACGGCCACAGAAAATGGGGGGCAGCCGCATGCATCATGGACGTACGAGCGACGTCCATGACCATGCCAATGCGGCGCTCTGCAATCCCATTTTGCTGCGGGGAGTCCGGAAGCGTGAAGGTCTGGCGGATGCCTCGCGCACGACAGTAGGCACGCAGAAGGCCAGAGGAGAACTCTCCGCCTCTGTCCGAGTGCAGACGCAACACAGGAAAGTCCGAGCCAAAGCTCTGCCTGAGCTGGAGACGAGCTGCGCGGATCCAGTCGATCAGCACCTCAGTGACATCACCCTTGCTGCGCAAGGGGAAGACTGTGGTGTAACGCGAGTAGTCGTCAACCACCAACAGGAAGTAGCGCTCGTGACCGAGTCCACGGACGCGGGCAGGGCCCCACACGTCCATGTGAAGTGTCTGCAACGGAGCCTCTGTCGGAGGAAACTGGGAGGAGTGAGGGGCAGCACGCTGGTGCCCCTCGACACAGGGGACACTGGCAGGGCCAGGGCCCTGAGGAAGGGGAGGTAGAGACCGGGGGAGACCAGACACAAGAAGACGGGAGGCCATGCCTCTGAGCCGAAGCAGAGAGGGGTGGCCAAGGCGGTGGTGCCAGAGGAGGGTCTCGTGAGACAGACGGCGACACGAACAGGGGGCAGACTCAGGACCAGACCTGGACGCTGCAGCAAACACCTGACCAGACGAAGGGACTCTACCAGACTCAGCACCTGGAGGAGAAGCAGTGGTCAGTGTGTACAGGCTCGACCCTGGCTGACGTGTAAACGTAGCCAGGTGACGACCCGTGCTAGCCTCTGTGCAGTGCGTCACTCGCTGACTAGCAGGGGTGAACTGGTGAACTCCCGCATCCTGTAGGTCAGCACCACTCACCAAGTTCGTAGAGAACGAGGGGAGGTAGAGACTAGACAGGGTGCCAGAGGGAGCCGCCGGACACGGGAGGACTGTGGAGAAGCGAGACAGGACAGGACCCCCAGAGGGGTCAGCCAGGGAAACCGCAACCGGCCGACTAAGCGGCGTAAGTGTGGTGCGGTCCCGAAAGAAAGAGCGAGACGCTCCAGAGTCAAGAGTGAAGGTGTGGGAGGCCGAAGCCGACGCAGTACCTGAGAGCGCAGACGCACTAGTACTTGAGAGAGCAGTCTCACGAGCACCTGAGAGCACAGACGCACTGGCACCTAGAGCAGAAGCCTCACCGGCACCTGGAGCAGCAGTACCAATGCCCGGGTCGGGCGGGAAACACCGGTAACAGTCACCCTCCTCACTAATGGTCACAGCATACATGGCAGCAAGGATAGCATCAAAACCAAGATCAAAGATAGCTACACCAGCCCTAGACAGCTCTCCCCAGCGGGGGATCTCCACGGCCTCCGGGAACTGCTGACGCCAAGCGTCCGTCAGGCGGCCAAAGCAGCGCCGGGCGGGGTGGGCACCCCCACACTGCTCTCCAGTGCGGTCGCCAGTGCGGAGAACGTAGGTGCAGGGACCAAAACCCCCACCGCGCTGACGCTGCGTGTACCACTCACGGAGCTGCTGAGAACGCTGCTGCTGCTGCTGCTGCTGCTGGCGCTGACCGCCACCAGTGCCGCTCCGCTGCGAAGCTCCACTCCGACCACCTCCACCTCCGCCACCCCCGCCTCCGCCTCCACCGCCCCCGCCTCCACCTCCACCGCCGCCACCTCCGCCACCTCCGCCACCTCCGCTACCACCGCCACCGCCGCCGCCACTCCCGCCGCCACTGCTGCCACTAGCACCCCCACCCCCGCTACCACCTCCACCGCCACCCCCACTCCCTCCGCCGCCTCCACCTCCACCGCCACCGCCCCCACTGGCCCCACCCGCTCCCTTGCCCCCCTTGCCCTTGCCAGAGCGGCGTCTCCCGCTAGGGGCAGACGCCGCACCGACCGACTCAAGACCAACGAGGTCGGCCGCAGCGGCAGAGGCGACAGAGGGCAGGAGAGGGGAAGGAGAACACCCCTCAAAGATGGGGGCGCGGGGGTCACCTCGAGAGGCTCCTACAGCAACTATGCTCTTCTTTGGTGCAAGAAGGGCCTTCTCGAGGCTGTCGACTGTGAGGGTGGTGGGACAGACCGCGAGGAAGTGGTCCCAGACTACACGAAGGGAGTCAGGGAGGCGAGTGACTAGGAAGTAGAGAGTGATGTACATGGGGGGGGGGGTTCTTGGCGCAGAAGTCAGCAGGAAGCGCAGCGCGGTAGCGAGTGTCACTAGTGCGGAGGTGCGTGATGAGATCAGCGACAGTGGGAAAGGCGGCAAGGTCAGGGAAGAGGAAGGGGAGCATGAGGCGGCTCAGTGCAGCAGTGGCAGGGGAGGAGTAGCGCGCAACTACAGCGTCGTACAAGGTGTGAGCACTCTTGTACTGGCTAAAGTGCGCGCGCTCAGCGGTAGGCAGGTGGCGACGTACAGCAAGACGTGCAGCAGCATCGCGCGTGTCCCACTGAGAGCGAACAGTGGCGTCAGCATCAGCAGCAGGGGCAGGGACGGCCCCAGAGGTGAGGTCAAAGAGAGATAGACCGTCGGCCTTGTCGCACTGTAAAAACAGCTGCAGGTCATCGAGCCAGACCTCAAAGTCAATGGCTCGACCCTCAGCGTCAAAAGCGAGGACTCTGGGTGTAGCCATGACGACGACAGTGGCGCAGTGCAAGCAGTAGGGGAAGGGTACGCAAGTGACAGCAGTGCAGTGCTCACCGGGCAGGGCAGGTCGGGCGGCTCGGGAGGAAGGTCGCCAGGCGACACGGCCGCTAGGCTGCTGGGCGGCTCGGCTCCCGGGCGGCTCGGCTGCTGCTGGGCGGCTCGGCTGCTGCTGGGCGGCTCGGCGGCTCCTGGGCGGCTCGGTTGCTGCTGGGCGGCTCGGCGGCTCCGGGCGGCTCGGCTGCTGCTGGGCGGCTCGGCGGCTCCGGGCGGCGCGGCTGCTGCTGGGCGGCTCGGCTACTGCTGGGCGGCTCGGTGGCTCCTGGGCGGCTCGGTTGCTCCGGGCGGCTCGGCTGCTACTGGGCCGCGTAGGTAGGGCGGCCGGGCGGGCCGCAGGTAGGGCGGCGGGTAGGCCGCAGGTAGGGCGGCGGGACGGCCGCAGGTAGGGCGGCGGACGGCCGCAGGTAGGGCGGCGGGTAGGCCGCAGGTGGGGCGGCGGGACGGCCGCAGGTAGGGCGGCGGACGGCCGCAGGTAGGGCGGCGGGTAGGCCGCAGGTAGGGCGGCGGGACGGCCGCAGGTAGGGCGGCGGACGACCGCAGGTAGGGCGGCGGGGAGGCCGCAGGTAGGGCGGCGGGTGGGCCGCGACAGAGTGGCGGGGCCGCTCGAAGGATTGGCGGGGCCGCGACGAAGTGGCGGGGCTGCGCGAAGAGGTAGCGGGGCCGCGACTGGGTGGCGGGGCCGCGACGGAGTGGCGGGGCCGCTCGAAGGGGTGGCGGGGCCGCGACGGAGTGGCGGGGCCGCGACGAAGGGGCGGGGCCGCTCGAAGGGGTGGCGGGGCCGCTACGGAGTGGCGGGGCCGCGCGTAGGGGTAGCGGGGCCGCGACTGGGTGGCGGGGCCGCGACGGGACGGCGGGGCCGCTAGCAAGGGCGGCGGGTGGGCCGCTAAGGTAGGGCGGCGGCTGGGCCGCGAGTAGGGAAAAGGGCGACTCGGAGGGTCGCTAAAAAAAAGGCGCGCGCCTCGGGCGCGCTTCGTGGGCCCTAAGGAACAGTCCCTAGGATGGGACCTGCTCTGATTCCATGAGAAGAAAGGAACGTGAATGAAATGACTATGAATGAAGTGAGTACAAATAGGAAACCCTAGTTGGGTTGTACCCCCTATGGGATACCCCACTATAGCCTACACAAATAAGTAAGCTATAATATTCTGACAGGCGAGGCGCCAGAAGTGAGGTCAAATAGCGAAGTACCGTCCTTAGAGTCTGTCAGCAAGAAAAGCTGTAAGTCGTCTAGCCATGCATTGAACTCTATCGGGCGGCCCTCCAAATCGAAGGTGGGAACGTTGAGAGCGGCCATAGCAGGCAGAGCAGTCCGGCGTGCTAGCAGCAGAGCAGCATGCTAGCAGTAGTGCAATAGGGATTGTGCTAGCAGTGAGCGGCGCGCGGTAGGGCAGGGTGCGCACGGCAGGGCAGGGCGCGCGGCAGAGCAGGGCGCGGTGCTCAGGTACGGCGCACGGGCAGGGCAGGGCGTGCGGCGCGCGCGCAGGGCACGGCGCGCGGCACAGGGCGCGGGCAGGGCAGGGCGCGCGGCGGCGCGGCGCGTCGGCAAGGCGGGGCGCACGGCGGCGCAGCGCGCGGGCAGGACAGGGCGCGCGGCGGCGCGGCGTGTGGGCAGAGCAGAGCGCGCGGCGGCGCAGCGCGCAGGCAGGGCAGAGCGCGCGGCGGTACGGCGCGCGGGCAGGCAAGGGCGCGCGGCGGCACGGCGCGCGGGCAGGGCAGAGCGCGCGGCAACGCGGCACGCGGGCAGGGCAAGGCGCTCGCAGCGGCATGACGCGCGGGCAGGGCAGGGCGCGCTGCAGCAGGTGGCGCGCTGCAGCAGGTGGCGCGCTGCAGCAGCTGGCGCGCGACTCAGCAGGGTGCGCTGCATCAGGCGGCGCGCTAGCAAAGGAGTGCACACTGCTACAAGTGGCACAGGGCAGGGCAGGGCAGGGCAGTATGACGTGATCACACTAGCGTGACGGGTGGGGTAGTGCTACTCGGTGGGCCCTAAGAGTTCGGTCCTAGGCTAGGACCTGCTCTAAAACCATGTCAAAATAAGGAACAGGAATGAATGAACTAGCAGCAGGATGGGTACAAGTAGGAAACCCTACTTTGGGTTGTACCCCATATAGGCTACCCCATTACATCCTACAAAACAAGCAGCACATATAGTTTTACAGCGACCACCTACAGAGCCCGTCATCACCTCAGAAAAAAAACAGCCACCAAGTTAGGACCCATGTGGAGCCCGCAGGATCGAGTTCCTGATTCGCGAGAAAGACCGCACCCCCATATAAGTCAACGGGGTGCCCGTGGATAAAATTGCTAACCACCTCGTCCACACCGAGAAACCTGCGCAGCCACAACTTCCGGGATGTACACGCACTCTCGTAACGGGACCTCCTTGAGGAGGGGGGTAGTGTAAGGAAAATTACTTCTCCTTACTTTGCGCCCCCGCTTACCTCGTACTTGACTATTCCCACCAACAGCACCCTGCAGTGAAAAGTTAACATCCGCGAAACTCGCCTCGACCACTGTTCTTGCGATTTAACATCGCTACCCAACCTCACGGCTCCATTGGTAACCAGTGCTCCGGTCCTCCGCCTTGACAATTTCCATCCCCGGCGCCAGGCCCATCACGCACCCCACAGTTCGCGCATTACCGTTACCACGCTAGGCTTTGCTGTATAGCGTTCGAACTGTCAGAATGTAATTGTATACATTACTATAATTGCCTGTAGTGTAGACCTAGTGTAGTTATATTGCTTTCATGTAAGGTGGTGCACCCTTTTCCTTCACTATATCTTGTACAACAGTCTATAGTGAAACCCTCATTCTCCTTCTCAAACTTGCTCGATACTTTCCTTCAACTCGATCTTCTCCTACCTCACTAGCCATGGCTCCTAAGTTACGCTAGTTTCTTAACACGAACTGCCTTCGCTCAATGTACTGTTGCTTCAATAGTGCAATACTTGTTCGTTTACTCAATTGCACTCGTAACAAATACATACAGCACAACTCAAAAAACTAAACAGGAAAAGCTGGTAAATCAGTTGATGAAAGGGTTAAAAAAAAAAAAACAAAAAAAAGGGTGCCAAGAAGTTACGACAGCGAAGGTCTAAAAGAGACCATTTTATGTTCAAGATAGGAAACAAACAGAAGGGCATTACATGGGACATAGTCTGTTATGATAAGAAATCGAGTTAACATCCATGTACGCAACAGAGTCGCAGTAGTACTGAGGATGGTGGCGAAGGGTGAAGATGTATCGCAAGGGTTGAAAATGGTTGGATTTTTGGGTCTGTCGCACGAGATGCATTAGAGAGGGAAAAGGCGGGAACCGTTTTGATACGGTATTTCGCCCACACCACACAGTTAGAGTTCACTGTAATTAGGGAATTTATCACGAATACATTGTCAGAAACAAGAAGTGATCAACTAGAAACAATTGGGAGTACAAGTATGAAACCCTAGAGAAATGTACACCCTAAAGGCTAACCCACAGTAGCCTACAAAACAGAAACATATACAATGTTTGACACACCCCCATAGGCTAAGTGGGGGAGAACAAGAGGTCACAAGACCAGTCAAGAAAGAAA